TCGCATATTGACACCACTTTGTTGAAGTGTAAATGCAATCGGCAGAATCAATAGCCATCAATTGGCTATAAAAGAACTACATGGTTGTTGCATGACTTCACTTCACAATCACTAAGCAAAAGGCAGACTTGTAATGGACTCGAGAAGATGACGTTTAGTGGTCTCATCTAGTCTAGCAATCGCCATTGTTATGATACTTAAAGGCTCCAGACATTTACGAGTGGGGTATTTACTGAAGATTTGATGTTGTAGAAACTAAATGTCATAATCATTTATTTCACACATTTGACCAAAAACACGTTAAAATGGCTGACTTTGAGACGAGGGAACTGCCAAAATGCTAACTCATTTCTGGGTTTTAGGACTCGTTCCTGCACCCCTCCACCACCTAATCTTTCTAAAACCCCTAAACAAAGCCAAGTCCAAGAAGTCAGAGTGATCAAATAGTGGTTATGGTAAATGTATGTTGCAGTATATTACAACAGGATAAAAAGTGACTGTGGCTGTTTCACATCAAAGCCAGTGTGGTTTCAAGTTCCAGATGGCCTTATATACTGAGAGGTTTCAGTTACATATGCCATTTTACAAAAGTGTTTGCATATATCTGGTGGTTTGTGTGTCCATGGCTTATCTCGGACCATCCTGAACCAACCTGCCTCGTATTCTTTGTGCACATTATTGTGTGTTGCGGTGATTCACATTGTGTTATTGACTGCTGACTTCTCACTTTTCGTCACAGGCAGGTCAGCAAGTGTTTAACAATGCTGTAATAGCAACATACATTTCCGGTAAGCCTTACCTTACCTTGTCTGTCAGGCAACACTTAAACAAACCTTTGTCGTAGCTCAAACTGACATCGATAAAAAAGAATTGGAAAGCATCTGCAGATACATTTCATACCCAATTACGATCCACTAAAGTAAGGCATAATACAAGATGAATAAATGTTCTGGTAAATTCAACACCATCTGATTTTAAGATCCGGTGCTTCTCACATTGTTTTCGCCTCTCTGCAGCGCTGTGGATATTTGTCCCAGCTGTGCTGCTGACAGTCAGTCGATCCTCTACAGATTTGGTTCTGCTAATGAATCTCATCTGACTGCTATATCTCTGTGCCTGTGGTGTTAGGGACGCATCACCAACCAGCGTGTTTGCCTCTTATTTCCCTGTCTCTCCACCCTACTACACCACTATAAACAGCCAACCAAACCCACAGTTGTTTCAGGCTGGCTGTAAAAAAGATCTGCTTACTCCGGTGTTAAAGAGGCGGCTAGATGAGCAGGTCTGTGATGTGGAGCAGCGTCTCTAGGGGAACACTTCTGTTATCACTCCTCAGACCAGCTTTGTGTCTGCTTCAGAGCTCATCAAGGCAAACAAACTGTCAGACACTCCAGGGAAGAAGAATATATGCTCTGTAAGCCAGATTGTATTTGGCATTTTTAAAGAAGACACCAATTGTATATTGAATTTGTAAGTTTAGGCTATTATTATTATTATTATTATTATTATTGTCATGATGTCCTGAGATCAGTAACTCACAGAGAAAAATCAATAAGGTCTTCAGTGTCTTGCTTAGGAGCATTTATCCATTTGACCTTATTCAAATCATTCTTATTGAGTGTCACATCCTCTGTAGATCAACGTCTCTATTTTAGTGTGATTGTGCAGAAAGTAGAGAGGAGATTAGTTCCTCATTGCAGAAATGGTAAGAAGACCTACACAAAAAAAGGTTCCCTAATATTATACACACACACACACACACACACACACACACACACACACACACACACACACACACACACACACACACACACACACACACACACACACACACACACACACACACACACACACACACACACACACACACACACACACACACACACAGCTACTACTACTACTACTACTACTACTACTACTACTTACGTACTAACGTACGTACTACTACTACGTACTAACGTACTACGTACGTACT